AAAATCCATCTCCGATCGTTATCCTCCGCCGCCATATACATCACCGACCCCCGCTTTCGATTTTTTCTCCTCAACCCAGGCAGGAGATCCATTCGGACCTCTGCGCTACCAGATCAGTCACCGGCATCCGTTGGCCGGCTGTTTGTCCCATTTTTGTGTCTTTATTTTCGCTTTATTTTCTCTTTATTATTCCCCACTTATAGGATTTTCGTAGTTTATTTGGTCCAATTCTGTGATTTTTCCGTTTCTCTCTTTAGTTCGTTATGTGCGTCTTTTTGCTGTGTTTTGCTTCGTGTTTTCTTCGTGTTTGTGTTTTCAGGAGGTAGGTTGTGTCGATCGAGGACGGGACTACTTGAGCTGAGATCGGGATACCAAGAATACCCATTGACGTGCTTAGAATACTGAAGGAAGGACCAGAAAAATGGACTGAAAAGCTGCCCAGGACATCTCGCGACTCGCGAGTCATGGTCGCGACTCGCGAGTTGGTCGCGACTCGCGAGATAGTCACGACCCGCGAGTCCAACAGAGACGAATTGAAGACTTTCGCGATACGAGTCGCGACTCGCGAGTCAATGTCACGACTCGCGAGATGATGTCGCGACTTAGCTCGCGAACTTCCCCTGATTTTACAAATTTTTGCCGACGCGCGAGCCGCGAGATGGATTTTTGGTAAGTCGCGACTCGCGACTTAGGTCGCGACTCGCGACTTGCTCGGCGCAAATTTCGAGGTCGGGATTTTTAGATCAGATTTTCGACCTAGATATCATTATTCACGTTCCAGACCTTGTTTTTACACCTTTTCTCTCTAGAAACTCATTCCTTTTCATACTTTTGCTCTTTGGATTGAATTTTGGAGATTAAAACTCTACATCTTGCTTGGATTTGGATTGTTCTGTGGATTTGACATTGGGATTCGTTATTAATCGTAAGTTTTTCTTTTCTCAATTGTGTGATTGATGATGATGGCTTGGGTTTGTATGAATTTTGATGTTGAATTCCATATGAGTGGCTAAATCCATACGCTAGGGATAGGGGATGATTGATTAGGTTCGATTATAATTGCTTGTTCTTAATTGTTCATATCTATTCAAGTTGTTCTTAATCTAGGGTTAGTAGATTGATCACCTTTCTAACCTAATTAATCAACGTGTAGAACCGAGAGGGGAGACGTTGGTCGATATAGGCTTGTTTAGAGTAGACTTGTTCGTAATAGTATTGTCTATGGGTAATTGGAATTGATAGTTGATCGTGTACGTTCACTCTCTTGTTACGAAGAGTTATTGAGAGTGAGCCTCTGGACGAGAAACGATTCAAGACCTTTAACCGAGCAATTAATTGCCGGTAGTTGTGTTAGAACCGAAAGCAATTAATTCCCGATTCACAGTGACTTGTCACTGTGTTGGTCAGCTTTTCTTTTCTTTTCTCTTTTATTTTTATTTTATTTTCTGTATTATCTCTTTTCTTTGCTGCGTCGGTTGATTATGTAGTACAACTTCCCTTCGCCGAGAGTCGACAATGGGGATATTGTCTGATTTTAAGTGTGCGGGAGTTTTTGCATGTTTTATGTGGCTATTTGATTGACCAATTCTAGTTTTCCTTTTTAGGATCGTTTTATTTCTTTCTTTTGCGTGGTGGACCAGTCTAGTTATAGGTTTCTATTTGTTTCTGAACTTTGATTATGGTGTATTGTAAGACTGGTTGAAAACTTTTGGTTGAATTTGAGATGTTGTGATGATGTGATCGAGTATTGCATTTTGATTAATTGACTTGGTTATTTTGAGGAACATATTTACCTTGTGAGGTTTGAGCCTATTTTGTTTCTTGTGTGATATTGGTCAGATCTTGTCAAGTAGAATTTGCCTTGAGACTGCTTTGAAATAACTTGATTCGATTTGTGAAACGTGAACATGATTGAGGCATTCTTGTATTCTCCTTTTCCTTTTCATTTTCGTGAATAACAGTCCCTAGTTACCCCCCTTTGAGCCTTGATCGTTTTTATTGATTAGCCTCGTGATGATGATATTGAGTTGCGGGTTGAATGTTGGAGGTGATGGTTGACTGC